CTTTCTCACATTTAGGTCTTTTTTCCATTTTTAAAAAAGATTTTATTTACTTATTTGACAGAGAGAGACACAGCAAGAGAGGGAACACAAGAAGCAGGGAGAGTGGGAATGGGAGAAGCAGGCTTCCTGCTGAGCAGGGAGCCCCATGCGGGGCTCGATCCCAGGACCCTGGGATCGTAACCTAAGCTGAAGGCAGATGTTTAATGACTGAGCCACCCAGGTGCCCCCTTTCTTCCATTTTGAATCTATTTTATGTATGGTGTAAGAAAGTTGTCCAGTTTCATTCTCCTGCATGCTGCAGTCCAGTTTGCCCACACCATTTGTTGCAGAGACTGTCTTTTTTCCATTGGACGTTCTTTCCTGTTTTGGTAAAGATTAGTTGACTGTATAGTTGTGGGTCCATTTCTAGTTTCTTAGTTCTGTTCCATTGATCTGTGTGTCTGTTTTTGTGTCAGTTGTACTGTCTTTATGACTATAGCTTTGTAATATAGCTTGAAATGCAGAATTGTGATACCTCCAGTTTTGTTATTCTTTTCCAGAATTGCATTGCCTATTCAGGGTCTTTTGGGGTTCCTTACAAATTGTAGAATTGTTTGTTCTAGCTCTGTGAAAAGGGCTGGTGGTGTTTTAATACGGATTGTATTAAATGTGTAGATTCCTTTGGGTAGTACGGACATTTTAATAATGTTTGTTCTTCCAATCCATGAGCATGGAATGCTTTTCTATTTCTTTGTGTCCTGTTACATTTATTTCTTAAATGTTCTAAAATTTTCAGAGTACAGATCTTTTACTTCTTTAGATTTATTCCTAAGTATTTTACTGGTTTTGATGCAATTACAAATGGGATTGACTCCTTGATTTCTTTTTCTGCTGTTGTTATTGGTGTATAGAAATGTAGGCAATGGTGTCTCATGACACTGGAAACACAGCAACAAAAGAAAAAAATAGCTAAATTATACTTCATCATAACTAAAAATTTAAGTGCTTCAAAGGGCATCATCAAGAAAGTGAAAAGAAAACCCACAGAATGAAGAAAATATTTGTAAATCATATATCAGATAAGGGAACTTATATAAAGGATCCAGAATTATTGAACAATTTTTACAACTCAATAACTAAATGACAATTAACTCTATTTAAAATGGACAAAGGATTTGAATAGACATTTCTTCAAAGAAGATATGCAAATAGCCAATAAGCACATGAAAAGGTACTCAACATTATTAATCACTGGGGAAATGTAATCAGAACCACAAAGAGATATCACTTCAAACCCACTAGGATATCAATAAAGTTTTTTAAGATTTATTTATTTACTTGACAGAGAGAGAACACAAACAGGGGGAGCAGCAGGCAGAGGGAGAGGGAGAAGTAGGCTTCCCGCTGAGCAAGAAGCCTGATGTGGGGCTCTATCCCAGAACCCTGGGATCATGACCTGAGCCAAGGGCAGACACTTAACCAACTGACCCACCGAGGCACCCCTAGGATAGCTAATTTAAATAACAGAAAATAATAAATGTTGATGAGGGTACAGAGAAATTGGAACTCTCATATGTTGCTGATGGGAGGGTAAAGTGATGCAACCACTTTGGAAAACAGTTTGGCAGATCTTAAAAATTTAAAGTAGAATTATAAAATGACCCAGAAATTTCACTGCTTGTTACATTTTGGTTTTAGAATGTGCCATGAATCACATTTTGACCAGCCAGATGTTGGGGATATACTGGAGTTTGCTGGTGATATACCATTAGGCCCAGAGGTCATGGTGGAAGAGTTTGGGAAGACAGAAAGGGATAAGAAGATAGGTCAACTTAAATAAAGTTACTGTTCTTACCATTTTAGAGCTTTTAGGGGACAAAATTTAATTGTTCAACTTCTCAGGAAAATACATGAAGAAATGGTAGTTGCCATTGAGGGAGAGGAAGGGGCGGCTGTTTCATGAAGGTATACTAGGTTTTCCTGCCAAGCAGCTGATTGCCTTTCCCATGGGACTAGCATATCCCTGGTTGACCATATACTCAAGTCTATTTGGAGAATAAAATGCTGGGATATGTTTGGGGGAGACCTTCTAGCCTCCTGTTCGTATTTCCAAAGAAGGGAGAAATGTCCACTCAGCGGAAAAGAAAAAGATAGGAGGAAGTTTCCAGGGTTTTTTTTCTGTCTCTTCATTCACTTCACCCCCAAATTGAGGAGTAAATTATCTTAAAGGGACAGAGTGTATATAGTCCAACTTTTCCTGGGCTCCCTTTTTGAATGCAGCCTGATATTGGGAGACTTACTCCCTGGTTACCTTTCCCCAGACTTTCTAGGGCTGGCATGATCTGGTGGAAGTGGGGACCTTTTAAGGTATCCTGATAATGGCCATAGCTCAGATTATGATATTTAAACTTACTAGGAATAAATCTGATATTTTTATTTCAGTCTGATTTCAGCATCTGTTTCTCATTTGGTTTTAAACTAAATGGGGGAATAAAGGTTGATTATTTGATGACCCTTAAGCTTCCCCAAAACTCTAACACTGGAAAGCCAAATCAGTCAGAAGGGTCGGGAACACTTGGGTGACTCCTTCTCCTGTAGCTGCCAGTGGTGAGCTAGCAGAAGGCACAATCAAGGACTGTTCCTCAGTGCTCTGTTAGGTGCCAGGAACACCAGATGCCCTGAGGATGCTTTGCTTTCCATTCCAGTCGCATATCCCGGAGTAGGAAGCTGGAGACTGCCACGTATTGGTGGCACATAATTTAATTATAAACACCAGATTCATTTAACTGCCCTTCCATTTATTCAATGCACTGTATACTCATGCACTGTGCAGGGTGTTGGAGATGTGAAGGTGAACATGACAGACAGAATGCTGACCCTTATAGACCTTTCATTTGGAATGGAAAGCTCTCTGCTCCCTGAGGAGAGCGCTTGACCAATAGAGTGGTGACTGGTTTTCCCTCTCAAGCCCTCTCAAGCCTCTCAAGCCTGGGACCTGAAGGAGAAGAGAGTTCTCTTTGCTCCCTGAATGCCATTTCTAGGCCTTCTCTTCCCCACCTCCTTTCAAAGTTCTTATCGAACTTTCCACCTGCTATCTCTCTGTCACTGACAACTTGCTGTTCTCATCACCCCACTCCAGTCCTTGATGACTTTAACACCTGGCTCACTCTCTTCTCTTCCACCTCTACTTCTGCCTTCTTTTTTTTTTTTTTTTTTTTTTTGATGAATTCAACAGTCTCATGAATAATTGGTCTGAGACAGGGTGTATCTTCAATTTCCCCATGTGCCTTCTGTGAATTTCTCCTGTCTTGTACCCTCTCTAGAAAGCTGAAGGCTGTTTTCTTCCCCCTTGGCACGCGGTGAAGAAGAAACAAAGACTCAGAGAAGCTCAGTTGCAATATGGGACAGAAAGATACAGACATGGGCTTGCTGAGTTAAGTTGGGGGAAAGAAAGAAAGAACCAGGGCACCTCTGCCTTCGGCTCAGATCATGATCTCAGGGTCCTGGGATCGAGCCCCGGCACGGGGGTCTCTGCTCAGCAGACAGCCTGCTTCCTCCCCTCTCTCTGCCTGCCTCTCTGCCTATGTGTGATCTCGCTGTCAAATAAATAAATAAAATCTTTAAAAAAAAAAGATATAAAATAAAAAAATTAAAAATTAAATAAATTAAAAATTAAAAAAAAAAAAAGAAAGAAAGAAAGAACAGGTAAAGGGCTGGCTCACAAGAAGAGAGAAGCCTGGAAAGAGCAGATATCTTGAAACGGGAAGGGCAAGGAAGACCCTTAGTTGAGAGAACCAGGAAGTGGAGTGGACAGGACTCCTGAGCTATCCTCAAGTGGGAAGGAAGCTCCCACCCACTGGGGACATCCTGCTGTTCCCAGGGTTGAATTGTGTCCTTGATCCGAAGGTGAGGCACTAGGTCATCTTGTGTGGAAATAGAGACACAAAGGGAAAAATCACACTTCCTGACCAAGGTAAGACTGAAGATAATGAGATTAGAGTTTCCTAAACTCTGTGTAGAAGTAATACACCCTTACTGCCATATATAGGCATACCCAGACCACCACAATAAAGCGAATAGGGCTGTAAAGTGAGTCCAGTGAATTTGTTGGTTTCCCAAAGCATATGAAAGTTATGTTTACACTATACTGTAGTCTATTAAGTGTGCAATAGCTTTATGTCTGAAAAAAATATTCACACCTTAATCTAAAAGTAATTTATTGTTAAATAATACTAACCATCATCTGAGCTTTCAGCAGGTTGTAATTAATGATCAGAGACCACCAAAACAGATATAATAATAATGAAAAAGTTTGAAATCATATGAGGATTATCAAAATGTGCCACAGAGACATGAAGTGAGCAAATGCTATTGGAAAAATGGTGCCAATAGACTTGCTTGATGCAAGGTTGCCACAAACCTTTAATTTGGGGAAAAAAATGCAATTTCAGCAAAGCACTGTAAAGCAAGATGCAATAAGATGAGATATGCCTATATTTGTACCTTGAGCTCTCATTCCTTGCTTCTCATCTGTAACGATCATTTCCTCAACCCTATTCAGACACCCTCTATCACAATGATGACCTTGTCATCAGCATTGACCAAACCTGGTTCAAACCCTAACATTCCCTCACTACCAGTCACCGACACATACCTTGCAAAGCACTTTACCTTCAACCTCCCTCTCCCTTTGATGTGCTCAGGCAAAGCCCCAGTCTGCTCGCTGCTTGCCCCTGAGCTGCCAAGTACTGCTAAAGAAAAATGCACAGCTCTACTAAACACTCTTACTGTAAATCTGTGACCATAGCCTTAAAAAGGTACTCATTATTGCCCAGAGCCCTGTTTTACATTCCCAGTATATTTCCTTTCTCAATTCCAAAATGGCTATTTTATACCATCTTTCCCATCAAATTCTCTGTGCACACCCCATAACCTCTCACCTTACTTCTCCAGACTAGAGCTTTCTCATCCTTCCTTTGCCAATGTCACCTTACCTGCACACACCTAACCCCACCACTCACCTGCCAACTCCTCTGTATGGGCTCTGGATCCATCCCCTTTCTTGTTCTCAGGGACCACTCTCCTACAGTTCCCCAAACCCTTCAAGACTTTTCCTACCAACATCCAAACAGTCTATAATCTGTGCTATCAAGCAAACAATAACAAAACATCTCATTTGACCCCATAATACCTTTCAAATTCCCCTCTCATTACTCTTTTCTGAAGCAAAACATTTTGAAAGCAGTGATTATAATTAGTTTCCACGTCTTCATTCCATAATCTCTCTTCAACTCACTCCATCCAGTTTCTGTCCACAACAATCCATCTAGACCGTTCTTGTCAAGGTCTCCGAAGACCTTCATGTTGCCAACTGTGGGACCAAGTCTCTGCTTTTATCTTACTGTCTTGCCCAGCATTGGACACAGCCAACCACGATTTAGGTTCCCTCATACTTCACTTGCTGTAGCTTCTCAGTTTTTCTTAGCTTCTCTCTCCTTCACTTCCTTTATTTATTTAATTTTTGACAGTTGCATTATTTATTTGTTTATATTTATTTTTTTCTTTTAACTTATTACTTAAATTCAATTAGTTAACATATAGTGTATCTTAGTTTCAGATGTAGAGTTCAGTTATCATCCATTGCATATATCACCCAGGGCTCATTACATCATGTGCCCTCCTTAATGCCCATCACCCAGTTACCCCATACCTGCTCCACCTCCCCTCCAGCAACCTTCAGTTTGTTTCCTACAGTTAGGAGTCTCTTATTATTTGTCTCTCCCTGTGATTTCATCATATTTTATTTTTCCCTCCCTTCCCTATGATCCTGTTTTGATTCTTAAACTTCACATATGAGTGAAACCATATAATAATTGTCTTTCTCTAATTGACTTATTTTGCTTATCATAATACCCTGCAGTTCCATCTACGTCATTGTAAATGGGAAGATTTCATCCTTTCTGGTGGTTGAATAATATTCCCTTGTGTGTATATGTGTATAGTGTTTATATTGTGTGTGTGTGTATGTGTGTGTGTGTGTATCTATATATACACATATATATATATTCCATTATATATATGGATATATACCAGATCTCTTTATCAATTCATCTGTCAGTGGACATCTCGGCTCTTTCCGTAGTTTGGCTATTGTGGTCATTGCTGCTATAAACACTGGGGTGCATGTGCTCCTTCACATCACAGCGTCTGTATCCAAAGATATACAGGGTATTTGGGTAAATACCTAGTAGTGCAATTCCTGGGTCATAGGGTAACTCTACTTTTAACTTCTCGAGGAACCTCCATACTGTTTTCCAGAGTGGCTGTACCGGCCTGCATTCCTACCAACAGTGAAAGAGGGTTTCCCTTTCTCCTCATCCTCACCATCATTTGTTGTTTCCTGACTTGTTAATTTTATCCGTTCTGACCAGTGTGAGGTGGTTATCTCATTGTGGTTTTCGTTTGTATTTCCCTGATGCCAAGTGATGTTGAGCATTTTTTCATGTGTCTGTTGGCCATTTGTATGTCTTCTTCGGAGAAATGTCTGTTCAGATCTTCTGCCCATTTCTTGACTGTTTTTTTGTTTTCTGAGTGTTGGGTTTGATAAGTTCTTTGTAGACATTGGATACCAGCCCTTTATCTGGTAAGACATTTGCAAATATCTTCTCCCATTCTCTCGGTTGTCTTTTGGGGTTATCAACTGTTTCCTTTGCTGTGCAAAAGTTTTTTTATCTTGATGAAGTCCCAATAGTTCATTTTTGCTTTTGTTTCCCTTGCCTTTGGAGACATGTGTAGCAAGAAGTTGCTGTGGCCAGGGTGGAAGAGGTTGTTGTCTGTGTTCTTCTCTAAGATTTTGATGGATTCCTGTCTCACATTTAGGTCTTTCATCCATTTTGAGTTTATCTACCATATGCTCCTTCCCTTCCTTTAAACAAACAGTCCCATTAAAAATGTATAGTCTATGAAGACAATAGTGGAGCCTTTATTCTCATTTATTTTTTTCTTCAAAAAATAAGGAAGCAATTAAACTTTATTAACATACAATACACATTTCTGTACTCATGCTCTCAGTTGATTGGTATATTAGACAATTAAAAGTCACATACGCTACACAGGACATGCTGAGGAATCAGTGGACATTCAACAGAGAGGTTACTGTGTGCTATAGTTTATTCGTGACCAGTTATGTGGTTGTATAGATTATCTTCTTAAAATTTTTTATTGTGGCAAAAAATACATAACATGAAATTTATCATTTTTAAATACACTGGTCAGTGATATTAAATACATTAAGTACAGTGACATTAAGTACATTCATATTGTCATCACCACCATCCATCTCCAGAACTTTTTTATCTTCCCCAGCTATATAATGAATCAATAACTCACTATGTCCCTCTCTCCCCAACCCTCGGCAACTACAGTGCTACTTTCTATGTCTATGAATTTGACTATTCTAGGTCCCTCATTTAAGTAGAACCATACATTATTGGTACTTTTGTGACTGACTTTTTCACTTAGCAGAATGCCTTCATAATGGATAAGCATAATCCATATAATCCAATGGATAAAGTTTATTCATACTATAGTATGTATCAGAATCTTGTTCTTTTTCAAGGCTGAATAATATTCCATTGTAGGTATATAGCACATTTTGTTTATCCACTCATCTGTCCATAAACATTTGGGTTTTTTCCACCTTTTGGTGATTGTATGAACAAAGCTGCAATGAACATCGGTGTACAAATATTTGTTTGAATCACTGCTTTCAGTTCTTTGAGTTGGGTTGGGTATATACCCAGAAGTGGAATTTCTGGATCACATGGTAATTCTATCTTTAATTTTTGAAGAAGCATGGCACTGGTTTCCACAGCAGCTGAACCATTTTAAAGTCCCACCAGCAATGCACAAGCGTTCCAATGCCTTCACACCCTCACAAACACATTACTTTCTGTTTTGGTTTTTTTTTCCTTTGATGGTGAACACCTTTTCATATATTTTCTAGCCATTTGTATTTGTATATTTTCTTTGGAGAAATGTCCATTCAAATATTTTGCTGATTTGGGGAGGTTGTTTTGTTGGTGGTGGTGGTGTTGAGCTATGGGAGTTCTTTATATATATTCTGGGTATCAATTTCTTATCCAATATATAATTTGCAAATATTTTCTCCTAATATATGGGTTGACTTTTCACTCTGTTGTTAGCATTCTTTGATGCACAAAAGATTTTGAAATTTTGGTGAAGTTTAGCTTATCTACTTTTTCCTTCTTTGCCTGTACTTTTGGTGTCATAGCCAATAAATCATTACCAAATTCAATGCCAGAAAGATTTCTCCCTACGTTTTCTTCTAGGAGTTTTATGGTTTTGGGTCTTACATTTAGGTCTTTAATCCATCTTGAATTAATGTTATATATGATGTAAGGTAAGGGCCCAACTTCATTCTTTTGTCTATGGACATTCAGTTTCCACAGCACTGTTTTTTGATAAGACAGTCTTTCTCCATGAAATGGTTTTAGCACCCTTGTCTAAAACCATTTGACTATATTTATGAAGGTTCATTTTTGGACTTTCTATTCTATTCTGTTGGTCTGTATATTTGCCATTGTGCCACTACCACATTTTAACTGCTGTAGATTTGTAGTAAGTTTTGAAATCAGGAAGTATGAGACCTCTAGCTTTGTTCTTTTTCAGGACTGTTTTTCTATTTAGAGTCCCTTGAGACTCCATATTAATTTTAGGATAAAAAAAATTTTTTTAAATAAACTTAAAAAAACACAAAGCCTTGGTATTTGATAAGGATTGTTTTGAATCTGTAAACCACGTGGATAGTATTGACATCTTCACAATATTAAGTTTTCTAATTCACGAAGCCAAGATATCCTTCCATGTATTAATGTCTTATTTATTTTCCTTTAGCAATATTTTGTAGCTTCAATGTACAGATCTTTCACCTGCTTAGTTAAACTTATTCCTAAATATTTTATTTTTTGATGTTATTGCAAATGAACTTGTTTTTGAAATTTCCTCTTCAGGTTGTTCCTTGTTATTGTAGAGAAACACAACTGATTTTTGTGTGGTGGATTCATTTATTAGTTCTAACAGATTTTTGTGTGTTTTTTAGTGAAATCTTGGGTTGGCAGTTATCTTTGATTCTTCCTTTCTCTCTTGCTCTCTCATTCTCTGCATGCAAACAGCCCCCAACTCATATCAGTTTGTTTTGATTTCACAATGTTTCTGCTATTTCACACTTTCATTAGTCTCACCATAATCCCACGTGACTGAAGGAGTATTTGTTTCCACAATGTTTAGGACAATGCATGAAGCATTTGTTATCTAAAACAGTTCTTTTATTCTCACTATCCCACTCAAACCTCCCAGGCTTCTCTCCCATCTTCTCAGAGGCACCGCTGGTAGTTAAAAGGGTCAAAAGCACCTGAGATGGAAGTGGATAGATACACTGCTTGGTAGCTGCGTAACCATAAGCTTGATATGTAGACCCTTTTAGTCTCACTTTTCAGCTGGGAACTAGTGATGATAATAATATCTATGCCATAAAGTGTTGGGAGGTGTCTTAACCCATTGGGGCTGCTGTAACAAAATACCACAGACTGGGTGGCTTATAAATGACAGAAATTTATGGCTCACAGTTCTGGAGTCTGGGAATTCCAAGATCAAGATACTGGCATGATCCCATTTTGGTGAAGACACTCTTCCTTGTCCATAATTGGCACCTTCTCACTTTGTCTTACATAATGGAAGAGGCTAGGGATCTTTTTTATAAGAGCACTAACTGATCCATGAGGATCTCACACTCATGACTTAATCACCTCCCAACTGCCTCTTCTTTTAACACTTTCACATGGGCGTTATGGTTCCAACATATGAATTTGGTGGGGACACAAACATTCGCATCGTGAAGGGAGGCTTAAACAGGACAGCGAGTATAAAGCACTTAGTGAAACTCTCCCTTTCTCTTCTTCTCTCCCTTTGAGGCCAAAGACATAGATGGAACTGATTTCCTGACTCCTCTTGTCTATATTACTCCTTTGGCACTTACC